TCTCACATCAAAATGGCAGTGTAAAAAAAAAAAAAAAAAAAATTAAAAAAAGCTAAAATCTCTACAGTTGGACAAATCTGTCATCTTTGTATTTGGCCTAATAAACCAAGTTTAGTTGAGTGGTGAAGTATAGGTAACTGCTGGCCTTCCATTATGAACAACTGCAGACATCTGTACACAGTCAACTTGTGAAATGTAACCAGCATTATTAGAATTTTGTCGAACTTGGATTTAATGTTGAATTGCTCTCATCTGAAATTCTTGAGTCAGGTTTGTGTGGCAGATGTGGCTCAGATTTTAGGGTTTGCAGTAAGATCCTAAGTGCTTCCTTCCACATGTTGAGGCATCTTTGAGCAGAGTGCCCATATAGCAGCTCCACCACCACTTGTCAGTGAATGAGAGGCGTTGTGAAACATTATGACTTGGCAGCTCTAATTGTCCTGTCTGTTGTACCGCTCACTAGACTTGATGTAATTGTGTGTGTCCATTTCTGTGCTCCGCCTCCTAGGTGTGATGTGCGCAGTCTCAGCTGCCCAGAAGGACGAGTTGGTCCTGGAGGGTAATGACATCGAGCTGGTGTCAAACTCAGGTACTTTAGGATGCCCTTGTTTCTACATCTGCCTTACATGCCACAAGAACATCTCTTCATGTTGGAACAAGAAGGATTTGATTTGTAACGCTTCCCCCTGCTAATGTTCTTCCCAGTCTTTGAGACTGTGTGGTCTATTTATCAGCTGTTAATCTCTCACCTCAAATCAAATACTGCAGACTAATTGTCACTATTTTAGTAGCAACATACCAGATATGATAATTTCAGGTCAGGCAACTTCCTCTTTCTATCAAACAAATGGCATACTAATATAATTGAGGTAATGCATAAACACAGTCTATGGGCAGATCTAAGGAAATCTGCCCATGACATGTAACTGGCACAAAGTACTTCTTCCAAAAACTGTCCTCCAGTCATTTTTGCACTTTTGATGGTCTCAGCAGTAGGTTTTATATCAGTCCAGTGGTTTATCCGTCAACCCTGCTAAAACCCGTTTTCATGTAAAGCCCCTCTTCTGTTCTACAGGGTAGATGATTATTCCAATGAAATGTTTGTTCACACTCATCTCTCATATGGCAGCAGAGTATTACTTTTCCAGCCACATGAAGTGATAATCTCCTTACCAATTAGACAAATTGATAGTTTATCACTGATAATGTGAAACATGTGATGTAGAAATGTATATCATAATATTCAGTTAATTCTAGCACTGTATTTTCTTAGTGGTTGATTACAAAGATGACTGAAATCACTGGTTGTTTTTTGCTTGTGACAGTTTTATAATAAGGAAACATTTTAACAACCCCATCAAAGGTTACACAAAGAGTCATTTGAATACCCTAGAGCCTTAGGCGGCATGTCTACATAGAACGTGTTTTTCAGTCATCTGTCTCCTGCATTTGATGGAACAGATGCACTTCTACTTGAATCAGTCCAGCTGTCTACACAGTTGGCATAACCACTTACGTTTGACTTGCACTGTACACTTGTAAACGTGGCCCGTAGTATAGTCTTGTGCTTCAATTTTTTTATTTCATGTTTCATTTCTCCAACATTGCATCTACACAGTAGGCAAAGTCTGGGCAGCGTGCTAGCAGCAGCTAGACTGATTAGAGGAGGAACGCATCTGTTCCATCAGATGCAGGAGACAGACGACTAAAAACGCCTTCGATGGGGACTCTTTTTTTTTCAGTTTTGGCTCTGTACACCTTCATATTGGACTTGAATAAATCGGTGGAATGGTCTTGCCTGGTTATGTCAGTCACCTGACCTCCATCCAGCTGAGCAGTATTTCACTTGCTCAAGATGAAAAACTCTTAAAAACCAGAAGCAACTTCATATGGCCGCTGTACAGGCCTGATAGAGCATCGTCACAGAAGAAACTGAGTGCAACTAGTTTGCAAATGTTAAATATTACAAATATTAATATA